TGGTACCAGGGATTGAACTCAGGACCCTGGGCTTGCCAGGAAGGGACTTACTCTACGGTGCTATCTCCCTGGCCCAAAAATCTTACCGTTTGTTGGGGATACTGCTCAGCAGCACAGTACCTGCCTGACAAGCGCATGCTTGTGAGTTTAATTCCTAACACACACACCAAAAAAAAAAAAAAAAAAAAAGTCCTACCTTTTGACAAAGTAATTTTACTTCTAGGACTCTGCCATAGGCTGAAAAAATTGGAAGGGTCTTAAGTTAACAATGGAGGATGATTAAGTTATACTGTAAACATAATAGATATTGCAAACTTTTCAATGACCAAATATTTTTATTTATTTTTTAATTTTTTTGTGGAACTGGGGATTGAACTCAGGCCCTTGTGCTTGCCGGGAAAGCGCTTATTCTACTGAGCCATCTCCCCGGGCCGGACCAAATATTTTTAATGATTGTGGAAAATCATTACAATACTACGTAGCAGATAGCCCAAGGCAGTCACAAAGGCACAGAGATCCTCCTGCCTTGGCCTCCCAAATGCTGGGGGTACAGGGGTGCACCACCATGCCCAGCTTATACAACTACATACTGCACTTACAGTGCATTTTTACTTTAGTGCTTTGCATAGGAAAGACAGAAATAAGTGAAAGCCAGTGTAAAAACAACACTGAATGTGTAACAAGCAATTATAACTCTTATTTGCTAAATGACACAATGTGAAAACTACATTTCTGAAACATTAACTAAAATTTTTCCTTAAGAATTGCATCTGAGGGCAGGGGAGATAGCTCAGGAGAATAAGCGCTTGCCTGGCAAGCACAAGGGCCTGAGTTCAATCCCTGGTTATGCAAAAAAGCATCTGAAATATTTAAGCAATATTCTATAAAAGTGTGCTATAACAATGTAAGTTTTGGGCTGGTGAGATGGCTCAGTGGTCTAAAGCACCTACTTAGAACAAGTTAATCTAAGCAAAGCACAAGGACCACGGTTCAATCCCCCAGCACCACATGCCAGCCAGCCCCGCCCCCTGGTGGGCTGAGCTGGACACACACACACACACACACACGTAAAATTTTTTTAAAAATGTAAGTTTTACAGTAGAAAGCTGAAATGACAGAGGAGGCACGCGGGGGAGGAAATGACACACAGGCCTAGCTACCTCATTAAAACCAGCGCAGCTGGGTGCTACGGGAAGGCAGCAGCCTTACACTGGTGCCAGTTCACTAGGAGGTACTGCTGCTCCCTTTTCACAACAGAGGAAACTGTTAGCGCAGTAACAGAAATGAAGGAAGACCAGTTGGCGTTACTACTGTGCATGGCACCGTGCCCTTTACCTTCCTACTTCCCTTCTGCTGGGGCAGGCCTTGGCCCTCCCACCTTCCCGGGGTCCTCCTGGGCCACGCACCACAGCCCTCCCAGGACAGCAGCGTCGCCTGGCGGCTCCCTCTGGAGCCGAGCTCTTTCTCACTCACTCCCAGAATGAGTACCTCTGGCCTAGAACTCGCCTAATTCCATCTGCTGCGGCAAGCTTTTGATTCCATGGATGCAGAACTACTTCCAGTGAAGGAAAGAACTGCAAATGAGTGGGCTACGCTCTGACACGCTAGACGTGTACAGGATGTGCAACTTCAGGCTCCATTTTATGAATTCAAGATGGAGGTAAGACTTTAAAAGATCCATACCTGACTAAGAAGTTTCCCATGAAAAATATTATTTACAACATTCAGAACTTGCTTGATAAGTTTCCTTTGAGAAGTGGGGAGAAGTGCTGGCACCCTACCCGTTGTCTCTAGTTCATTTTGTATTTTATCCAAAAGTTCACAAAGAAATTCCTGAGCATCTTGTTGGGCGTAACCGCGAAAAGCAGGAATTACCCTCCATACCGAGTGGAGCATGGCGAAGGGTGAGACCTGGGCCCACTCTCCAGACCACATGACCTGGAATAAGGTGTGCAACTCGTGACAAAGAGATAAATACTGTGAACTTGGCTCTGTGCACTGGATAAGTTCCATATTTCTACTTTTTGGTTCTCCACCTCTCAGTCTTGATATACTTGGGTGTCTGGAGCAAAGAAAGCCTGGCTCTTTTTCTTGGCACTCATGCATTTGATAGACCACAGCATCTGTCACAGGATGGCCGTATGATCTTGTCTTGTCACCAGCAGTCACCGTCAGCCACTGGTTCAGATCAAGTTTTAAAAAACACTGTCGAAAAATAAGTAAATGACTCAACACTTGCAGAACAGAATTCATATAGCAAGTATTTCCCAAATTTCTCAGTCCTGTTACGCCAGGAGTTAGTACAGGCCTCCCTTTAGCTGAGGCGTCACCAGTTTTGTTCCAACTTCCATCCTCAGGGGTAGACCTAACCCTATCCTGCGCTGGTGATGCTGGGCTTCGTGGTGGGGTCTGAACAGGACCCACTCTGATCATGGCAGAATGCGCTGCACCCTGCAAACGTAAGCTCTTTCTGGGGGGCGTACTTTCCGATTCCTCTCTCACTTGATATTCTGACAACTCTTGCTGTCTTTTTTTCACTTCTCTTTTAGCCACTATTTTTTCCTGAAATTGTTGTTCTTGCCTTTTTCTTGCAATGGGTGATTGTTCAAACCAAGTCCGAAAGCTTTTCCCCATAAGCAGTCTCCTCCTGTGCCAGAGAGCAGCGCACATTTGATCTCCATTCTGAAGCAGAGACGGGGCGTCGTCACGTAAGAAGGGAGAACCCTCCCTGGTACCCACAGGTGGCAAAACCCTTCCGCTACGAGTGGTACTCTGACTTCTGACTGCACTTAATGTCCTTCGCAGTAGCGCCACGTCTCCAGCTGCAGTGTCATTCAGGACATAATCATCACAGAGGTAACAGAATACACACATCTCGTTCACCTCCAGCACAACAGGATGACTGCTCTCGTGAAAGTGCTTGAGCGCGTGCTCCTCAACGTAGCGTCCACAGGCGACGTGGGGACAGCTGAGGCAGGCCCAGATGGACTCGGTCGCCCTGCAGTCCGCACAGTGCCACTTCTGCGGGCTGAGGATGGAGTGGTCCCGAGCAGGCTGCAGCTGCCCGATGTGCTTGCACGTGTCCATCGTCAGCATTCACTCAGGCCACGCGGGAAACCCACGGTCCACACACGCCTCTGCTCACCACGCCTGAGGCATCTAAAAACTAAGGAAACAATGCCAAATTGTTTGATTAAATAAAATTGAGAACCTAATATTCCTTTTTTTTTTTTTTGCATTTTAGGGAAGGGTCTACAGGGTGTTCAGGGTCTTACTACTACATCAGACTCGTAGTGATCTGCCTGTTTACAGCCTCTAATATTCTTTTTTTTTTTTTTTTTTGGCAGAACTGGGGATTGAACTCAGGCCCTTATGCTTGCCAGGGAAGCACTTATTCTACTGAGCCATCTCCCTAGTCCCCCAGTTTTATTCTTATTTTTTAAAATAAAGCTTGGCATGGTGGCACACACCTGTAATCCCAGCACTCTTGAGGCTGAGGCAGAAGGACTGCCATGAGTTCGAGGCCAGCCTGAGCTACATACAGAGTTCAAGGCCAGCCTAACCTACATAGCAAGACCCTGTCTTAAGAAAATCAAAAGTAAATGGGTGGCAATAGTCTAGTCTAATCTTAAAAATTTACCAAGACCCAAATATATCCCATAATATTCACTGTAGCTGCCAGTCCAGGGCTCTAGGAACTGCACAGGTGAAGCTGACTTTGGTTCCTTTCTATCTCTTTATGTGAAATCTCCTTATGACCATGAGCCTCTCACTCTTCAGCTTTTAGATATTTGGTACCTGAGTATGGACTTAAGACCAGCCAGTCCCAACCTACACTGGTACACATATTTCTAGTGACATTTTAAGATCTCTTTTCCTCCCTTGAAATTCCCAAAGACCTAAACTCTGGTCAGATCAGAACTCAGAGTATTCCCTAACAGTTGCTGATGGGACATCAGTGATGAATACACTCCAGGATCCTATAACCTTCTGGGAGCTGTACTGAGGCAACATCCTTGGACTTATCCTTGACCTCTCTCTTTCCACATCAGTCCTTTAGGAGAACTGGTTGACTGTCTTCAAGCTGTATCTAAACCAGACTATTTACAAATTTGACTGCCACAGTCGGGTATGGTGGTGTACACCTGTAATCCCAGCACTCAGGAGGCCGAGGCAGGAGAATCACCATGAGTTTGAGGCCATACTGGGCTACATAACAAGACCCCAGTCTCAAAAAAAGAAAAGTAATTCTACTCCCATGAACCTGGTCTAAGCCACACCTGAGCTTCAATGGGGTTACTACATAAGGGTCCTAAATGGTCTCCCCACTTTATCCTTAACACCACCAAAAGGTTATTCAGCACCCAGCATCAGTCTGTCTCTAGACCCAGACAACCATGCCCAGCTAGACTGGACACTCCAAAGGACCTGTGCACAGGCCCAGCCCCCTTAAGGAGCGGCGAGCGGGAGGTACGAGCTTGCACACACCTCAGTGCCATTTTAGACTCCTCTCTGGCAACTGAGACTTGGAGAATTACTTGCTCTCATCATCCCCAAGCTTGGCCCAGGATCTACAGACCATATAAAGCCGTGGGGAATTCTGTATAGGAAAAGGATACAGTCACATCACTGGATTATGGAGAGAGCTGGATGGCAAACACCTGAAAGAGGGCTGAGTAGATTTAAGACTACTAATCCAGACAGCATATGGCAATTAAAGTTGCAGCAGTTTTGAAGGAGGCAGAGACAGATTTAGTGTTAACACACACAGGCTCAGAAAACTGATTCAATTTGGAGGTTAAGGAAAGAATCTGGGCTGGTGAGATGGCTCAGTGGTCTAAAGCACCAACTTAGAACAAGCTTAGCAAAACACAGGGACCGCGGTTCAATCCCCCAGCACCACATGCCAGCCAGCCTCGCCCCCTG